CGTGAGAGCCGACACAACATCCGTGACCTCGACAGGAAGAGAACCTAGATAGCACACAGGCTGCAGACCCACAAGACCTCAGCCGTCGTGGACGGCACGCGAACACAGGGAGAAAGCCCGAGGCAGGGCACCTCGGCCTGCGACCAACTCTTCCTAAAATCGACCAAAACTTGCCTCAACTACGCGAATTCGTGTACTACGAGACCGTGAGCTTCCGAGTCGACGTGTCAGGAGTAAGTCGTAGGAGTGAGGACGAGGTGGGTGAGGCGAGGAGGTTGTAGAAGGGGTAGAGGTAGGTGGGAACGAGGCACTCCGATGTGAGATATGACACAGCTTACCTCATTGGTGGTGTGAGCAGAGGTAACGCCTATACTGTGAACTCGAGTTCTCAACGACCTCGCTAAAAGTTGTTCTTAGGGCGAGGTGATAAACGCTAACGACTAAGGAGGAAGGTACGAAGGGATAACTGGGAAAGGAACTTGGAACCAAAGGACGACTTGGATGTCAGGGAACAAAACACACACCTATAGACGTGCGGGAGCGAGGAAGTCCGTACCCGCCTCTGAGGACAGCTAGGTCAATCCTCACAACCGGACCCTGCAGCATTGCGCAGGTTTGGGTGACAGACTAACACCAGCTTTATCATCGACACAGGACAAAAGTACAGAAGAGTCGTATTAATGGACCAACATGCTTTTTTATATTGTTATCAATACGAATGAGTGCCGGTTAAGCATTGGAACGTAGAGTATAAATACGGACAAGTATAAACGAAACCTTTAACCAGTTGGTTGAACAGAGAGCCTTATTCAGGTAAAAAAAGACGTGGAGGACTAATTACGGGTTCAATTCACGTTCACGCCTTCCTCAATCCAAATCCCAAATGTACGAATAAAAAATATTGGTGAAAAAACCAAGGGATTCGTTGTGTCATATAGACCTTTACGTTATTAGAAGGGAATTATGAATTGGGTACCGGGGGATTTTCTTCCGTTACTTTTGTAAATACTTATAAATTTGAAGCATATTCACCCCTAGGTATGGAAAGATCTCCTGATCATTCTCTGCAGAGACACATCAGCTTCACCAACCAGAAAAACCTCAGACTGGCTTCCTCCACGCCTTCCCGCCCCATTGTGATCCCAAAGCCACAAGGTACACCAAGTCATAGCAGACCAGCAGACCCAGGCCTTGTTATCTCCAGCAGTCCGGACCAGAGCAACCCTTCCCGGTCCGAGTCAGACCCTTCCCTACCAGCGGACGATGAGAGGTGTGAAAAAGAAGGACAAGAGAAACCAGGAGGGGGCTTCCCTATGGTTCTTATCAGACAACCCCACATCCAGGCCAGGGAGGATCCAGGCAATTGCAAGTAGGTGTATTCAAGTAGATCATGTGTCAACCTAATGGTGATATGCCTATAGAGTGGTGCAGTGACGAGTCCTAAAACCCGGAAGTGAGTTAGCATTTTACCCCTTACGGTTCCCTCGTCTCAGAGCCAATGGGATTTCTCCTTAGGATTTAGGAAAATAGCTGGAAATAAGGTCTGTGGTTGACACACATTTAAGAAACTGATCACGTTTTGTTCTACGACATTAAATACATCAGCAGTGACCCCACTGGTGATTTTTAAAGAGTTTACGTGTCTGAAAAACGATGGTTGTTACCGAGTGGCTGAATAGGACTACAGAAGTTGTCGAGGCCGTTGAACGTCATTACGCCGAACACGTCCACTAAGTTTGCTTGCCCCTGTTCTGCTTGAAAGCAAGTACCTGGCTCTGTCTACCTGGCAAACTGTCAAAACAAACGCTTCAACTTGTACAATTTTGAATCTGTATTTTTGAATATCGATCTTAAGTTGGCGTGAGGTTGAAGTCGTGCAACCCTGCTGTGCTCGGCTGTGGTTAGCATAACGTTAGCATTTTGCTTCTGGTGATTACATTTATGATTCGAAAATGATAAAAGTAGACATGTGGATATTATCCGGCTGAACAAAACGTGCCTGAACCTGTTTGAAAAATATCAAACAGTTTCGTTTTCCAAAGACCTTATTTTTCGAGCTATTTTCCAAAATCCTATAGAGAAATCCCATTGCTTTGTCGAGGGAACCCATGCGCAGCTCACTTCCGGGTAAATCCCTGCACCACTCTATTAATGAGGCACCTCTGAAGGCAGTTCTGTGCTCACTATATTCTCTATGTTTCAGAGCTACATGCAGCTGCTACAACAGCACTCGTCCCTGGAGTATTCCCAGAGCCAGCTGAGTCTGCTCAGTGTCTGCCGAGACCCCGTGCACCGGAGCGGACGCCCTGGGGAACCCCGTCTAGAGTGGAAGGTCAAAGTTCGGGCCGACGGCACACGCTACGTGGCGCGGAGGCCTGCTCGTGACCGCATCCTGAGGGAGCGCGCGCTAAGGATAAGAGAGGAGAGGAGCGGAGGCATGACCACGGATGACGACGCCATGAGCGAGATGAAGATGGGCCGCTACTGGAGCAAAGAGGAGAGGAAGCAGCACTTGGCACGTGCCAGGGAGCAAAGGAAGAGGAGGGAGTTCATGCAGAAGAGCCGCCTCGATTGTCTCAAGGAGGGGCCAGCCAGTGGAGCTGAGGGCAGGAAGGAAATCAATATCTTGGAGCTCAGTCAGAAAAAGATGCTGAAGAAACGGAACAAAAAGATCCTGGATAACTGGATGACCATCCAGGAGCTGATGAGCCACGGGGCTAGAGTCCCAGAGGACTCCAAAGTACATCACAGCGCATTCCTTTCTGTCACAACTGTCTAGCAGTATGCAGTACTTCATATTTCTAGGTACTAAACACTGTAAGATCCTGCATTTCAGGAATTAATGCTCTATGAAAAAAGGTTCAGTTACATGTAGGGAAGTAAATGTGACTGCTGAGGACTTCTGTAGCATTTCTATGGCAACTTTGTATCTCTTTAAGAATGTTTTAAAGTTCTTTATCTATCATTTCAAGACCTCGGCCATTAAAACTTTTCATCGTTTTTACACTGGCTTTTTGGTAACGGACTTGCTTCTGATAGCAGATGGTTTTTGTAGCATATTGGTTCAAACTGATAATGGTGCAGAACTAATACAATAACTCAATATACACTACTGTATGTTTTGTCTCTATGTATTGTGTTTCATTGCATATGAAGCGACTTCACTTGCCTCGTTCCAGGTGGCGTTTTTTATAATGGGAAAAATATGATATTTTTCACGCTTTGTAAACTCCGTAACTTTTTGTAAACAATTTTTTACACTGAATGTCATTGTACTGTAAACATTTGATTGAAATGTCTTATTTATGTTTGTATCACTTAACCATCGTGGTTGACACTATTTGATTGTACTGTAGCCTGCATTGTATGCCAGACCAACACAAAGAGAAACTCTGAATTCCCAGAACACACTTCATAAAACCTTTGTTGTGTTAATAATATAAGTTGAGTCAGAGTTGTCGCAAAAATGTATCTCAAAAGCTCATGTTGTTCTTGAGCGGTTTTACCTCACAATAAAACTCTGAAATGGTTGAATACTCGGTTAATTGAATTGGTTGACTTAATTTACCCTCGAGTCAACCTGACCCCTTACTATAAACCATACATGTGTGATTTATGTTTAAAATGTTAAATAGATTCATATTTATATTGTTTACTGTTATTGTTTCTATTTATTGTAATTTATTTTCTATGGTCCGTCTGATAAATGTTCCACATCAAGTGACTGTCCTTGAAAGGGAAGTCAAGAAAGTGTATCCGATAGCAGCCTTTCATCTCAAACCTGCTGCTTCTCACTGTAACGTTAATTGAAGAGGCCTTGACTTCAGTATGTGTTGATGGTGATATTTGTAATAAAACAATAATGATCAGATGAAGAACATTTCTCTTTTTGAACTTATTGATGTGTGTCAACATTTAAATCTTTAAAATGAAGACTCACCAACTATATTGTTTTGCTTTGATTTATAACGTTACTATGTGTTTGAAACTGTGACCATCTGTTACCTCATTCACACCAACGGTGTTTCAGGGCCGGTTCGGAGCTGGAGCTTGAAAAGCCCCGGGTTTTCCTGTTCACACCGCAGCGTAACAGCCTCTTAGCTCCGGAATCCGGTTCGTTTCAAGCACCAAACATTTTTCCGGGTAGAGCAAAAGCACCACATACGTCAGGCTTATGTCGAGGCAGGGGCAGGGGCGGGATCAACTCCTGAACAACAACAAAAAGCCGGCATTTTATCCAGTTTGTACACAACGATGGAGAAACTTAACAAGCAGCAGTGGTCCACTGAAGAGACCAGCTACCTACTGGGAATCTGGTCTTCTGAAGAGGTACAGAGGAAGCTGGAGCACAATCGGCCGTTGTTGTCGGTGTCAGCTGTGAGGGGTTTCCGCGCGGTTTGGCTTTATGAAGCAGGCACGCAAACGGTTACGTCATGACGCAAACGATGACGCAATGACGCAGCACCAGTCGGACTCTGGGCGGTGTGGAAAGAGCCGGAGCTAAACCGAAGAACCGGTTCTGAACCTGAAAAGCTCTAGCACGGAGCTTGAACCGGAGTTGCGTTGGTGTGAATGAGGTATGTGAGAACTGTGAGAACATTTGTTTCTTGAAACGTAGGTAAGAATGTAGTCAAGTCAAATGGGAATGTAATCTTGTAGGAGACAGGATTAAACATTTGATGCTAAAATGTAATCTCACATTTCAACTCTGAGATTCCCAGAATGATTATTCCCTATTACCAGTTTATCAACTTTTAATTTGACAAAGCTTTTATTTATTAACAAATACCTAGTTAGCCTTTTCAGGTCCCTCCAAAAGGAAGGGATATCATTTCTGTTGGAAATACAAACCGTTGGCTGACCAAATCCATATCTGCCATGTCATGTTTCTGCAATCTCTCCTGCTTAGTGTCAAACACATAGAGGTCTAAGGTATCTTGTGATTCACTTTCTTTGAATGTTGCACAGCCAGCATGCATTATGCATACTGTGGCCAGCAGGGCATGTTAGGATTTCAGAGACTTAACAGTAACACTTGCATGCTGATCCTGCAATAAAAAAACGTTTTATGTGAAAAGTAGGTATTGTCTCCTGCAGAGAACAACACATTTGATCCTGTTTGCTATTGCTTGTGGTGTCAGGCAATCAGGGCCCACGCAAAGTTCTATGATGAGGCCCTCTCTTTCGCGAGCGTCGACGGGAGGGGGTGCTAGTGGAGCCTGGCAGCGCCGAAAACCGTGCCGCGCCCACACTAATTGCATAGGTGCGCCACATTTTCTGCTCAGTTGAGGCACCCTCCGCAAGATGAGGCCCCACGCAGTCTGCATGATCGGCCTGTAGGGATGGACGGCCCTGCAGGCAATGAATACATAAGAAGAGGTTAATAATCTAAGACACATCCTGCAGGGACATCTTGCTTCTTATCAATACTGTGCAATCAGCTAATCTCTCGCAACACTGAATCTACTTGTGAGTGATTATAAAGAAAATGATTTCTAATTGAAGACGTGAGAATTAAATGGGAACTGCAAAGATTGCCACACCTGGAAAACTAACCCACCAAGCCTCCTCATCTGCATAGTCACTCTAACAGGAAGTCATAAAGGATTTTTTTGATGTCTTGTGGCTTGATAGCACACATAGTAATTTACCCTGTCGCTACCGTTTACAGTATTCATGTATTCACAGTGGGATGACTGACTGACGCTGTGCGTGTGGGGGGTGGGTTACGGGTGCAGGGACGCTATGGGGGTGCATGTCCATTTAGTGATAGGAGGCATCAAAGCTAAACTATACTCCCATTTCAAAGCATTAAGGAGACGCCGGTATAGTCTCCTCATCCCCTGTCAATCTGCTGTGTCTGTCCACAGCCCACTGAACTGAAGAATTAATGAGCGACATCACACTGGCATCCCCATCGCCAGGGAATTTATGCATAATATTAAATCAGGTAAGCACTGCACCCACGTTTCTCAAAGCTAACCATCTCCCCGTCTAATATCCAACTGGTTATATCTGTGTGACAGAAGTGGCACAAGAACTGAAGAAAAATTCCTAGCAGTCAACCAAGTATAATAAATGATTAATCCCAATGTGCACAGCAAAGATAATTGACTGTTGATGGGTTACGGTGGTATGGCGTTGAGGCCTATGCTGATAGGGATTTCTTACATGTATGAAGCGCAATGGCATGACCAAAATACAAAGCTTAATGGTAAAGCATTGGGGCTTAGGTTCATACATAAAGACATGATATAAATATATAAAAAGAGAATACAACTCTGGTGAAAATGGAATACCCTTCCACAAAGTAGTGCTGCCTTTACTTCAATATTTCATGACAATGACGTGAGTGCCAAAAAAACTAGTCTTACCTCTTGAAAGAAATAAAGGCTTTTTGTTGGATACAAAAGAACTATAAAATAAATGGTTTGTTAAAAATGGCTGGATGGGCGAAGGGACTGAAGTATTAATATCTGAGTAAAGAATAATGCCTCTGGCCAAAGGCATAAGCACATCTGATCGTCATTTTTCGGTACGGGTTAGGAATAGCTTTGGATACAAAAGAATGATGTCTTGCCAAGAGTTCCATGAGTAGATTGATAGCTCTCTTATTATAAAAGTCAGTTAAATATAAAGCTACAGCCAGCAGCCAGTTAGCTTAGCTTAGCATAAAGACTAGAAAAGGTAGCCTATCCGTTTTTAAGAGTGTGCTTAAGACCTTCCTTTTTGATAAAGCTTAGTGCTGATTAGATTCAGCCACTAGTTTTGCTGCTATAGGCTTAGACTGTCGGGGGACACCTTACTTCTTCCTTCTCTCTGTCTGTACCTGCGTTCTCTCATGTTCCGAATAACCCAGCTTCCCCCAAATTTCTTTTTGGTGTCTATCTACGCCGGGATCCTGAGTCGTGGCTGAGTCCTGAGTCCTGATCTGAGTCCTGGATTTCGAGTCGTGGCTGAACCTGTCTCTGCGGTCCCGCCTGACTCTCATCAACTACTTCCCTGATGGCTCCCACAGGATGGCTGACATCCTCGTGGATTCATCTTCTTATTATAGACACATGCATTTCCAAACATTTGGACTACCTATGTTGTAAATGTATTATCTTTTCAATTTACACACGGCATCTATTGCACGTCTGTCCGTCCTGGGAGAGGGATCCCTCCTCTGTTGCTCTCCCTGAGGTTTCTCCCATGTCCTTTAAACTGTGGGTTTTCTCTGGAAGTGTTTCCTTGTACGATGTGAGGGTCTAAGGACAGAGGGGTCGTATTGTCATACTGATATTCTGTACAAACTGTGAAGTCCACTGAGACAAAAGTAACATGTGTGATATTGGGCTATATAAATAAACATTGATTGATTGATTGATTGATTGATTGATTGATTGAAATTAGCGCTGGATTCTGAACATTTGAAATGACGGTGAAAGTTTTTCTTTAGTTTATTCGGTTATTTATGCATTTAGGTAATTATTGGATAAGACTCTTATAGTGCAGCTCTGTATTGTGTGCTTTTCAATCAGAAATGCTTTGTCCTGGTCAAGTGGCAATTGCCAGAATAATAGGGGCTACATTATTGTAGAAAAGCTGCTCTATAGTGACACAATGTGCCTGATTTATAGGGTCAGTAACTGGAGAGTTTGCATTGTTTCTTTGTGTATTAAATTGAACTTGTATTCCCTTCAAAATGATTTCAATACCCAGAATAACTCGCCTTAGTAAAGCAAACATAAAGCCACCCACGCTCAGTGTTTTCTCATTGTCAGAGCTCCCCAGGCACACTTATGGAGTATTTACAGGTCCATTACGGAGTCATTATGGTCCGGCACAGCAGCTGCCGTATAATTCTGTCAGGAGGGGGCCGACCTCCCTGATATGTGACGCCGTTCACATCACACCTCATGTGTCCCCTGTGGAACTTCCATATATACATATTTAAAGACACGCTCAAGTATGTCTGTGCGCATTTGGCCACATTTTAACACATTAAGCGCAAACGATCTTCAACCAAGTGAAAGGAAGCGGAGCTAAGAGACGCCATAGGGGGCTAGAGGTGACAGATAATGAGCATGATCTCTTTTCTTATGCTTCCTTACTTCCAGAACGTTCTTTCTCCCCTCCATCTGTCTCTGTCTCCCCACCTTTCTACTTCGCTGCTCTCTAACTTCTGTCCTCTGCCTATCCTGAAATGACCCTGCAGATAGAAAAACACACAGAAAAGTTACAGAAGAGGAAGCAAGTGAGGTGGAACTGAGTGTGAGAAGAAAGGAGAGATGTGATCACTTCTCAGAGTGCAAGACCCTCTTTAGAGAATCTCCATCGGGACGGATACAGGAATTCATATTCAGAGAGGATTACCTGGTATCCTTGTCACAGCCATAGTACCAAATCATCCAACACAGATCCAGACCTGACAGATATGAAGAAGGAAATATCTCTGTGACATTTCTAATCCCTCTATAAGATAGAAAAGGATATTTTTCTTTTCACCTTCCCAAACTCACTTGAGACTCAGACAGATGGAGACATGTGTGCAGACGGAGAAGAATGTGCAGCATGCAGAAATGAAGAATGTTATTTCTGTGTCTAACACTGAGAACATCCTGAGGCCAACCTCCAACCACACTTACATGCAAAAACAAAAAAACGGACATCTTAACTGCATGATTATTTGACTTGTCTCTCGTGCTCCTGGTAAGAATCAGCACACTGGTAACATCACACAACAGACAGTATATGGTACTATTAATCAATTGGTGCACAGATGTGTGTTTTACTCTCTACTTAATACAATTACTGTGAAATGTTTGGCTATAAAAACAAACTAAAAGTATGTTGCCAATTATTGGGCTTTTCAGTTG